CCTAGTTCAGCAGAATAAGATTGTTTCTTTGGTTGGGTTGATAGCTCTTATTAGCAAAGTTTTGCATATGTGGATGTAAAGACTGCTATAGAATGAAAAGTCCTGTTTAATAGAGCCTTTCATTAGTCCTATTCATTGTCACGTCTGTTTAACAATGTGTTTTTCTTTTGGTGAAATATTTATGCAGTGTCTGTATTTAATTATCTTACCAAGTTAATAGTTGCATATTCTTAGTAAAATATGAGTTTTTTTTCAAAATGTTGAACTGTCAAGTTCAATATATTTTGTATCCATACACATTATAAGCACCATGTATATAGCTCTCCTATGAGGTATATACTAATTGGACATTTAGTAAAGGATGTTTTCTGGTTGTTAGGGCTATAAAATGATAGGTAGGATAACTAAGAAGTTTGAGCACAACACTGAATTTCTTCTTCAAACTACATACATGTTATAACAGTTCACAGTGGGCAAGTAGTTTGGTCATTTTGTAAGATTTAAAGTTTCAGAGCAGTACCCTACTATTTTGCAAAACCTCTCTTGAACCAACAGCAAGGAAGTACATGCCATTGTTGTTCTATTCCATAGTCTTCAACTATAAATGCTCCCAAAGTCATCAACACAGTGTTTTAGGTAATAGCTTAAAATTAAGACTATCTCACATTGCATTCAGATACAATTAGAGAGCAAGAACAGATTAACATAGATGGAGCACTGTTTCCTCTTTCAGATGACATAGCTTGGAAACCAGCAATCTCTCCTTTTGGCAAAACAGCCTTCCTCTCCCATCAAACTTTGTGTGTATGTGTGCATGTGGCTGACTTGGGTGGGGTGGGCTTTCATATAAATCAAGAATATAATATAAGTCTGTCATTTCTCTACTTGCTCAATAGCTTCTATTTGAAGGAAGAGGTGTAGTTACAGGAACAATGTTGATATTCCTTTATGCTAGTTAAAACAGGGTTCTATTTATAATACCAACTCCAGTGGCTCCCATGAAAATTATGGGAAGGTTCTGGGAATCAGTGACCCTTGTCCTTCCAAATTAGTATTGAATGACCTACATATCTCTGACTGAAATTATCTTTTACATAAGATAGAACTCAAAGTCTTTTGGTGTTGAAAATGTCCACGTAAATTTTCAAGAAAGAAACCCTAAGCTCCTCCTTTTTTTAAAGTTTATTTTTGAGAGAGAGAGACACAGAGACAGAGCATGAGCAGGGGAGGGGCAGAGAGAGAGGGAGACACAGAATTTGAAGCATGCTGCAGGCTCTGAGCTGTCAGCACAGAGCCTGATGCGGGATACAAACCCACGAGATGTGAAATCATGACTTCAGCTGAAGTCAGACACTTAATGGACTGACCCACCCAGGCGCCCCCCTCCTTTTTTTTTTTTTTTAAATTAACAGGGTGTGCTCAACCTTAAGATGAAACCATTAAGTTCCTGTCTGAATAGCTGGCAAAGTCAGAAAGGCTATAGCAGAGGAAAAAGCCATATAGGAAGAAAGGAGAGAAGAGGGAGGAGAGGACAGGAGAGGACAGGGAAGGGAAGGGAAGGAAAGGAAAAAGGCTCATGAATTCCATAGGGAGAGGCAGTTCAGGAGCAAACTAGAAATTGAGTGGCAAATGAAAATTAGAGTATCTTTCAAGTGAACCAGCAATAAGAGATCCTTTATTTGTCACAGGTAAGGAGTGAGTCAGAAAATCAGTGGGCTCATGGAACATAAAGGATTAAAAGGAGATAGCAGATATACTGAGTGACTTTTTTACATGAGTAAACCACTCTATAGCTTGTGAGGTAAGCAGATGGGTCAGAGGTCATAATGGAAAATGGGCAAGACTGTTTACAAGCAACAAACTACAAGTAGTCAAAAACATAATGACTGGAACTAAGTGATACAGTTACCAGGGCTGACCCTCTGCAAAACTATTTAGTTGGCAAAGACTGTTTTATTTCTTGTGCCTCTTTCCCTCTACTGCTCCACTTACCAAATTTCTGCTCCTCTGAATGCTCAGGGTGCTCGTGCTCATGCTCTAACCCTTTCACAATCTGCTATCAGGAAAAGCTCTGTGAAAGCATACATCTATGGCAGAAAGTTAGGAGGAGAGGTCATGGCAAAATTCCATTTTAAGCCCTATTTCTAATTGTAGAATAAAAGTGTGTTTCCTGTTAAAGGAATTTTAGTCAATAGATGGGAAATGGGAGAGATGTTTGGGTCAGGAAGCCTTCCTGGCACCTTGGAATCAGAGGTGCCCTCACATAATGCCCTGACCAGACTTGACTTCTGAAAGAAATCAAAGGGGAAAATTACTGTACCTCTAATGAAAACTGAACCTGTTATTCTGGATGAACACTGTGTAGATTGGTGGTGTGGCTCCATGAGGCTTAAGGGGACCTGGGAACTAAAAATTGATGAGTGTCTGGTACTTTAGTAAGCAAGTTGGGGGAATCTTTAATCAATGCTGGCATCCTGTACACTAGAGTGGGGTTTCTGTAAAGGGAAATCGTATGTGATCTTCCATGTTCCATGGATCTTTTCTTTGGGGCTAAATTCACATTTTTTGTTTTTTTAATTAAAAAATTTTAATGTTTATTTTTGAGAGAGAGAGAGAAAAAAAGAATGAGTGGGGGAGGGGCAGAGAGAGAGGGAGACACAGAATCTGAAGCAGGCTCTGGGCTCTGAGCTGTCAGCACAGAGCCTGACGTGGGGCTCAAACTCATGAACCACGAAATCATGACCCTAGCTGAAGTTGGACACTTAACCAACTGAGCCTCTCAGGCTCCCCTAAGTTCACTTTTTAAATGCTTCTAATTAAGTTTGATATCAAGGCTATTTTTAAACATGGATTACTATGGAGTTAAACATTTTTTTGTCATGTAGTAGGAACTGGTTTAGAGGGACAGAGAAAAAATATAAAGGAGAGACAGACATTTTTTTCACTGAAGAAGGGTGAGCAGTAGACTTACTTGGGAGTGGGTACTGGGATAATACTCAGCTTTTCTAGGCAGTTAAATGCCAAGTTGATGGAGGAGAAAGGTGTATCTCAGGAGGTTTTATGGGCTTCAGTGGGGGCATGTGTAAGGTAATCTGTTTAGGGAAGGCCAGATATTACAAAGTATCCTTGCAGGATGATGGGTGCTGACTTTTCAATTAAGGCCCAGGAAAGAGCTAGAGGAAACCCTGTGGACAGAAAACTGAAGAGAAAAACCTAGTTTCCTGCTGTGGCAAAAAAGGGACAACAAAATGTTGAGCACCCTCAAGAAGGGGATTAAAAGAAAAACAAAATAATTTTCCTTTTACACAGAACCACAGGATATCTTCACTGGTAAAGTTACATAAGCAGCTCTGATCTGCGCATCTCAAGGACAGAACAGGGCCTGAGGGGAACAAAGAAAGGCAATTAAAACCATCAACATAAGGCTCCAAAAATAAAGGCCTTTTCAGTCTGACAATACAGAGGTAGCCAGGGGACATGATCAAAATCATGAAGAGGCTAGAGCTGCTGCACGATGACTTGGCTTGCCAAATCTCTTGAGCTAAGAGGCACCTTTGAAGCATTAATTAATTAATTAATTAATTATCTTTTTCTTTTAATTTTATTTTTTAAATTTACATCCAAATTAGTTAGCATATAGTGCAACAATGATTTCAGGAGTAGATTCCTTAATGCCCCTTGCCCATTTAGCTCATCCCCCCTCCCACAACCCCTCCAGTAACCCTCTGTTTGTTCTCCACATTTAAGAGTCTCTTCTGTTTTGTCCCCCCTCCCTGTTTTTATATTATTTTTGCTTCCCTTCCCTTATGTTCATCTATTCTGTGTCTTAAAGTCCTCATATGAGTGAAGTCATACGATGTTTGTCTTTTTCTGACTAATTTCGCTTAGCATAATACCTTCTGGTTCCATCCATGTAGTTGCAAATGGCAAGATTTCATTCTTTTTGATTGCAGAGTAACGCTCCATTGTATATATATACCACATCTTCTTTATCCACTCATCTATCGATGGACATTGGATTCTTTCCATACTTTGGCTATTGTTGATAGTGCTGCTATAAACATTGGGATGCATGTGTCCCTTTGAAACAGCATACCTGTATCCCTTGGATAAATACCTAGTAGTGTAATTGCTGGGTCATAGGGTAGTTCTATTTTTATAAAGTTTTTATTTTTTAATACTTCTACTTTGTTTATACAACTCTCAGTGATGATGGCCAGTGCAGACTCCTTTGGGAAGTCCCTGTGTCCACCAGAAGTTGGGAGAAATCTGAGCTGAGTGGGGCTAGGAATCAGAAGCACCTTGATCCCCATTACTTACCTAAGTAATGCTGACTTGCTGACTTTTAGTCAGACTCACTTTCTCTACTGCCAATGTCAGCAGTGAATTTGTACCTGACCAATCTCAACTTAAATGAATATGGGTTTACCTCCTGCCCCATTCTGTAGGGCTTTTCAGCCCTAATGGTCTACATATCCGCACCAAACTGTCCTCCTACAAGTGGCTATAATTTAATCCTTAAACATAGTTTCAAAAGAACAGATTTCTGACCCCAATTTTAACACAAAGGATAGAACTCAAGAACTCATAATAAAGAATTTTCTAATATTCACACCAGTGGATTGAAGCAGATCTCCATAATGGGAAACTGAAATGAACCTTCTCAGGCTAATGAAATCACATACGTACAGGTTTTAGCTAAGAAAGTAGCAGGTGAGGGATAACCCAGGACAGCTTAAAAGCTCTGCTCTTGGGAAGACCTTAATCATATGGGGCAGCAGGTAAGATCAAACCAAGAGTGTGGCTCTGTTCCAAAAACTCAGGTCTCCTACACAAGGGATCAAATAAGTATGCAGTATAGAAAAGTGACACAGGTGTACAGTGGCTCTTTTTCTCTCTCTCAAATTGTTCCTTGAAAATAAGAATTCTGTAAGATTGGGAGCCATTTCATCCTACAGAAATGCAATCCACTTGTTACTGGGCCAGTGTTACTGCCATACCTTTCACAGATGTGGTAATACTTCTCATCCTGTATGCCATCCTGAATGGGCACATTTACACTGTAGTACCGTCCCTTTCCTAAGCCAACATCAGACACGTCACCTGTTCCTGTGAAAGAGAGGAGCGCCATGAACAGTTTTAAGAATACCAGCATTAGACAACTTGAAGGATTCTGATAGGAATGCAAAAGAATAAAAGGCCAAGTAGAAGAACAGTCTTAGATTAATTATGGTTTCTAAGAGTGTGAAATTAAGAAAAACAATATAGAGAAGTAACTGCTGTAAACAATGTTGGGGAAAGAGGAAAACCTTAAGACAATGGGAAAAAACTTAGTTTCCGTTTTGCTAGATCAAGTTAGACAAAAAGATTAACTCCTTTGCTTGACTTTTCATATGCCTTTGATTGATATAATATTAATATATCATTGCACTTATTAGGATGTTAGGAGTTACACAGTTACACTGTCCTATGTGATAAGACAGTAAGTGTAAGTGAGCTGTCTGTTGACAGTCCATCAAAGTCATCTGGAAAAAGAAGCAGTATTATATTCCTCCTATCATTGTTGCCTGAAATGACCTGTGTTAAAATTTTGGATAAAGTAGCACCAATGAAGTATTAATAGCATGTAACTATCCAGATATTAAATATAAGAGATGTATAGAAGAACTGCAGTATTTATTCCTCAGATGTAATACTGAGCACACAGATTACTTGCCTGGAAAAAATCCTGGGGAGAATTTGTGTAGGGACACTGTCATGACTTTAGAGGTGAAACTGAAGGCATCTTCTACACCTAGCAGAGGAAAAAAAACAGCAGAAGAATCACTTCATATATGCAACTCCCGTTTTCAACAACTGAAATGCTAGGAAGTAGCTGTGGGAAGTAAGAGAGAGGATAGCAATAATAAAACTAACAAGCTGAGGAATAAAAGGAACAAACCCCTCCAGTCTTTGATCTCTTGTTGGTACAGGATGAGGTAGAACTTTGGCCCCCAGTGAAGTTTTGGGGTTCTTTTTTACATTCATGGAAAGTTATAACTGGACTTCTCCTTTCCAAGCAACAGGATGTCCAGGCTCCCTTAGACAACCTCTTCTAAAGGGTGGGGAAGGCTCAAGCTCAGAATTGAAGCATTATGAACAGAGCTCAATAGAGGACTGGCACCATCTTGGAAGTTTTATGTTTTGTTTTAGTGGTTCCAGTTAAATTCTTGGGATTTTTTTTTTCAAAGAAGTAAAATGTGGCAACCCTTTGAAAAATATGACCAATACAAACATTAGGCATTATGTAGTGAAAACCTAATTATAAAGTGCTTCTCTATGATACAGATTTGGTTATAAATGCAGTTCACCCAAAGTCTAAGCAGCTTATAGTACACCTTTCTTGCTAAAACATGGAAGGCTAAGAGAGTCCCGCCCTTTTCCCTTAATAGTGTCTTTTTTTTTTTATTTTTTTTTTCAACATTTATTTATCTTTGGGACAGAGAGAGACAGAGCATGAACGGGGGAGGGGCAGGGAGAGAGGGAGACACAGAATCGGAAACAGGCTCCAGGCTCTGAGCCATCAGCCCAGAGCCTGACGCGGGGCTCGAACTCACGGACTGCAAGATCGTGACCTGGCTGAAGTCGACGCTCAACCGACTGCGCCACCCAGGCGCCCCTAATAGTGTCTTTATAACAAAGTTTTAAAGCTTGAAGAAAGATGGTGGTGGGAAGAACCTTTCTAGAAAGTAGTCTCCTTTCCATTTTAACAGAGACAGAAAATTAGTATAGATGCCTGGGAGATAGAAGATACAACTCTTATTATAAGCCACTGCTTATTCAGATAAATGTACTGCCCACCTCCACACCTTTCCTCCCAGAATCACATAGTGTCATACTATATTCAGATAGTCCGTCTGTAAAATGGAGGGACTATTAGCAAATTCATGTACTATCCTTTTTTATATGTCAAATAAAGAAACTGTCGCTGCATTTGCTTAATGTTTTCAGTCTTCATTAGAGGCCAAAAGAGACCTTAGAAAAATATTAACTATATTTGTATATCACAGGCATGTTTGAATTTCCCAAGCCTTATGTTTTGCCCTAGGGAGGCAGTTAAAATCAGTTAAAGGCAGAAACCCATGGGGGAGGGGAAGGAAAAAAAAAGAGGTTAGAGTGGAAGAGAACCAAAGCATAAGAGACTCTTAAAAACTGAGAACAAACTTAGGGTTGATGGGGGGTGGGAGGGAGGGGAGGGTGGGTGATGGGTATTGAGGAGGGCACCTTTTGGGATGAGCACTGGGTGTTGTATGGAAACCAATTTGACAATTAACTTCATATATTGAAAAAAAAATTAAAAAAAATCAGTTAAAGGCTCCAGGCACAAGGCATTAAGTAAACAAAAGAAAACAAAACAAAATATATTAAAATAGCATTTTAACTTAGCGACTGAGGTATTAAACAAGGACAATTCATAACAATCCTGATTATTTATTGATCCAGAAAGGTGGTAACCAATTTACACTTCTATCAGTGATATATGTGGGTTCCCATTTTCTCACACCCTGACTAGCACTGGGTGTTATTATTCTTTTTAACCTTAGGCAGAAAAAATGATCTTGTTTAATTTGCCTTTCTCTGAGTGTTGAGCACTTTTTATGTTTAGTAGCTATTTGTATCTCCTCTGATGGGAAATGCCATTAGGTATTGTTAGCAAATCATACTTTAAAAAAAGGACAGAGACAGATAGGTGGAGGGTATGGGGCTTGGTGTGAAAGAGAACAGTGGTTAGGAAAACAAAAGAAGGTGAAGGAAGGTGAGGACAGGCTAAGAGTGCTTGTGAAGCCACCACAGGATGCTAGTTATGGAATCATGGGAGATTTAAAATGAACCAAATGTGTAAGAGTTTGGAGGCGGGGCAGAGGTCACTGGAAGGGAGGTGCTGAAGAGGGGAAATAAACTGAAATGAAACACACCATAAAAGTTGGCTAAAGCAGGAAACTCTAAATGGTGTAGAAATAACATTGCAAATGGAAAGAACGGTTTCAGGTGACAGTCATTTCATTCTTACATGGTTCAATAGAGTTGATTCTATTCTTGAGCTCTGATACTAATAGTTTGAATTTCATAATCATTCATTCATTCAACAAATATTTTACTGAACCACTGCTATATGCAGAGTTCTGTTTGTTCAAGCCATTGTGCAGGACAGAAAGAAGTAAACAACTTGATCTCTGCTCTGGAGGAACTGAAAGTTCCTATGGGAGGAGAAGACACAGACACATTAAAGATTTAACTAACAATACAAGACAATATATAATTAAATATCAAATCAGCGATATAAACAATATAGGACTTGAGGAGGGAAGAGAACACTGGGGTTGGAGTAGTCAGGGCAAATCTGCTAGTGTTAGAATTTGAGCTCCTGGGTAGAACTTGGAAGAAAAAGCAAAACTAAATTAGGAAAAAGTAATGCAAAGTCAGAGAGGTGGGAATACTGAGACATGTCTGGGGATCACTGAGTACAGTAGCCTAGACAGGAAGTAGTGAGAGAGGAGACTGGAGAGAGGAGGTAAGGTCTCTTTCAGGCAGACCTCAAAAGACAGGGTAAAGAATATAGACTTTAACTTGAAGAGCACTGTTTTTTTTTTAAAGTGTGGTCTGTGGAACAGCCAGAGTGTTGCTAAAATGTAGATCTGGCATTGCATACCAGACTTACTGGATTTGAATATCTGGTGGATGGGGCCTAGAATTCTGCATTTTAAAACAGGCTTCCCAGAGGTCATCTTGCTACATATGCAGGTTTGAGAACCAATGCTATGGGCCAAGAGTTAGCAAACCAAGAGGCAAATATTTTAGGCTTTGCAGAGCCTACATGGTCTCTACTGCACTTTGTTTTCTTTACAACCTTGTAAGAATGTAAAAAAAAAGTCTTCACTTGCTGGCCATACAAAAACAAGCCATGGGCCAAATGTTACTCTTGTTATAGGCAATAAGGAGTCTTTGAAGGTTTTTGAACAAGGCTGTGTTTTGCATTGGCTAAGTATTCAGATATTTGGTGGACATGGTTCTCAAAGTAGTATGTTGGCTGCTTTAACTCTTTGCCTTTCTCTGTTACCTTCAATTTTCTGTCACTATTCCTTGGTAGCATCCATCTAGGTGAACTCTTTGGGGAGCTTTTCCTCACAAGTTCTTCCTTCTTTTTCTGTTTTGGCAGGAGACCTGATTCTAGCCTCTGTCATATGCTATTATTTTCCTCACTTATACCTTGATTATGTTAGTTTGTCTCCAAAAATCCCTGGAAACAGGGAAGCAGCAGTCACTGATGTGGGGGAGACTAGGGAATATCCTTAATTAATTTTACCAGCTAAGTGATCCTAGATCAATGGAAGCATCTGGCACACACAGGATGTATTAAAGAAGCAGACTGTGGGTAACTGTCTGAAGCTCTACATTGTAGATGGAAAGTACATAGGAGGTTTTGGGTAACATCCTTTTGGTGAAGTCTTCTGAAAGGGCATTAATGGGGTAAGGTGAATCAAGATTCTGCTGCTGTTAAAAGTTAGAGGAGATGCCCTGAGTTTGTGTAGCACTAAATATTTTAATAATACAAAGAAAGTGGTGCAGATTCTGATTACTACATGAGTTGGTATCCCTATCAGTGAAAAATTCTGAATGTTATTCCATCATACACTGATTCAATCTTTTTTTTTTTCAACGTTTATTTATTTTTGGGACAGAGAGAGACAGAGCATGAACGGGGGAGGGGCAGAGAGAGAGGGAGACACAGAATTGGAAACAGGCTCCAGGCTCTGAGCCATCAGCCCAGAGCCTGACGCGGGGCTCGAACTCCCGGACCGCGAGATCGTGACCTGGCTGAAGTCGGACGCTTAACCGACTGCACCACCCAGGCGCCCGTACACTGATTCAATCTTAAGGGAAGCATCAAGATTGTCTAACTGAAGATTTCACTTAGAACCTATGGAAGTGGCCTGAGGGAGGTGACTGAGCACTGAGTATACACTAGACAGGATTTCCACTTCTTAATGTTCTATACTGGAGAAATTTGCTAGTGGAGGAGAGGTGAGGGGAAATTATAAAAACCTGGTATTTTAAAGCATCTTGCTTAGCAAAGAAGAATTACATCAGTTAGAAGAATCTATTCTACCTACTTCAGGATTCTCAATTAGAAAAATTTCAAAAGTAACAGGCATTTATCCTTTTACCAGTCACCTAGAAGCAGCTTCACTGATAAAAACGTTCTGTCCTAGCAGCAAAGCACCTTTGAATGTGAAGGGCTTACCATCTCCATGGTGCAGATCCAAATCCACATAGAGAATACGGTCAAATTTCCGTCGCAATCGTAATATTCCCAGGACAGCATCATTGAGATAACAAAAACCAGATGCTTCATCTCTGTAAGAAAACAAGTTGCTACAGCCAACAGCCAAAAGCAATCCAAGGGAGTCTTTACAGCCAAGGATCTAACCCTTGAGATCTATTCCCTTACAATTCCCCTTTCTTTTAAGAAAAACAAAAATCTACCTACAAAGAATATATAGTAAATTGGCCCAGAGTGATCAGGGGATGAAGTGTTTTGGTAAGCTAAATATTCAGGTGGATTGGTAACATTTTTCATTTAGAATCCCAGATTTTCAAAGAATTATAATATTATAACTATATTGGTCAAAACAGAACTTTTCTCTAATGATTCAGGAATGATTTAAAAATCTTGTAGTACCCTGGGCTCATCATGATCAACACTGAATGTCCCTTATAGGACTTGAAGAAAGCTAGAATCTAGAAGGGGCCTTAAAGACCATCTTGCTCAGCCAGATGTAGAAGATGACGGAGACTGGAGTCTGTACTGATCCTATGACATAAACTAGAATTGCTTTCTTTCTTTATTCCTTCCTTCCTTCCTTCCTTCCTTCCTTCCTTCCTTCCTCCCTTTCTCTTTCTCCCTTCCTTCATTCCTTCCTTCCTTTCTGTAAGTTTTTGCACTTGTTGCTTTAAAAGCTGAATATAGAATGTACAAACATTCTACATGTGGTTGCCTTTCTGAGGCAGCCTCCTCTAAAGTTATTTTGTTTCCTTCACTAAAATTGTCTTCATTGACTTCACTGGTGTCTTTTCACATTTTTGTTGGTGATACTGTGTCACTTTAACCTCTTGTCAACATTAACCTACTCTTTTATTAAGAGTAACCTACTCTTATTAGCCTACTTCTTTTTATTATGTTGCCATTAAGTCTTGCTGAGTAGATGTAAAAAAAAGCATTCTTTTATCATCAAAAGTGTATTATAACTTATTTTTAAGGCCTCATCCTAAATGCTTCAATGTCCTTAGCTTCCACAGACACTTTAAATATCCAGCCCGTTTTTTCCCAAGTTCTCCCTGATATTTTAATTGAAATGGAATTCTAAGCATGAGCATCATTTAAAAGAGCATTTTTGGTACTATGAGATTATAAGATCTTTCTAGTACCTACACATTGCATAAAATTCTTCATGAAACCTCGTCCATAATAACATTTCATATTCTGAACAATACCCTGGTTTATAGGCTGAGTCAATGAGACAGGTACATTGGCGAGCAGGAAGTTGGTAAAAAATATCACTAAGCATTGAATTTTCTCATGCAGGTGAATTCAGTGATCACCCAGCAAAAAAAAAAAAAAAAAAAAAAAAAAAAAAAAAAAAAAAAAAGAAAGAAAGCAAGCAAAGCAAAGCAAAGCAAAGCTTGGCCTTAGATATGCAACCAGGAAGAAACCAATAAGAGAAAAAGATTTGCCCACCCATGAATTCTTTGTAAATAAGAGGTAAATATGTGACTTTGAAAGTTTTTGGATGCTATTTTCCAATTATGAAAAGCTTACATTTTATAAGTCTACTGTTTAGCATATCAAAAAAGGGAAACATCAATAACTTTTGGATAGGTGAGATGGAACATTAAGTGTTAGGTAGAAAGAGTAGCATACAGCATAGGGAATATAGATAATATCGTAATAACTTCATAAGGTGACAGACTGTAACTAGACTTATTCTGGGGATCATTTCATAATGTATAAAAATGTCAAATCACTATCATATACACTTGAAACCAACAGGACATCGTATGTCAATTATACTTCAATAAAAAGTGAATAAGAGGAGGGAGATGGGGAGGAGGAGAAATACAAATCAATATAGGACATATTTTTTTCCCCTCAGAGCCTATAATTAAGTTAGGGAGACAAGTCATAAGTACAGAAAAACAAAACCAAAAAACAAAGAAAGCAATCAGAAATAACGTGGCATATAAAGAAGAATACTTGCCTCTAAAAGACTCCTGGCCCCCTTTCTTTCCTTTGAGATGTTCTTTGTTAATGAACATCCTCCCTATCATGATAGTTTGAATAATAATAATGATGACGATGTTGTCTGTAATTCAGAAAGGTCTTTGCATGTAATATTTTCCTAATATTTTCTTAAAGGAGCTCTATTCTCATTAGATTATAGAAATAACTGCTTACATAAGTAGAATCTTCCTAAAATTTTCAGAAAATAAGGACATTAAACTTCAAGACTTTTAATGTGCCAAAATTATTCCTATAGAAACAAACTCAGTTTGTTGAATTTAAGAATTCAAGTTGGCATAATTTAGGTAAGTCTTTGGCAGATAAGACTGATTTAATAAATTTGGTTTACTAAAATCAGCTATGACTTTTCTAATTTATACATGTTAAGTATAATATACATGTAGATTTTTATTCTACTTAAATATATTCTTCCTAAATTTATACAGGTTCATTAATTAATTGAGCTAACATTACCTCTACTAAATGTTTGAGACTATGACAAACAAATTTGTTTAGATTAATTGAGTCATTACTGTGATGAACTTTATTTTAACAGTAGTTATGTTTTGTAGTATGTCAGCTTGAAGATAATTTATAAGATCTTTAGGTAACTGAAAACTTTGGGTGGTATTAAACTGAGTTAATTAATGGATATTCATTAGATCCCTAGACCATTTCTAACTAAGAGAATGCATTAATTGCTAGGCATAATTTCAGGTTTATATGCTTTTGCTTCTTATTTTTACATCCTACAGAGAAACTGCATGTATTTGGTTCGGTTAATGAACATGTTCTTTTTGGCCAATTACAGAAGTTGTACTATAAAGGATGTGTATGCATATAGAAATTGGTAGAAGATTCATAGAAAGGGAATTTTATTTGTTGAGATCAAAGTTGGCTAAGGTTTGATGGGCTTATTAGATTTCCAAAAATAACTTCAATATTAAATATTATACTGATGCAAAACTAGAATTTGCTTTTCATTTTAACATGCTAATTTTTTTGATTATTTGTCTTCTCTCAAATAACAGGTTGTAAAGGTTTTGCTTCACTAAGTAATGTTCCTCAATAAAAAAAGATTTTGTGTCTTAATAGAATAACCTTATATGGTTTATGTTGACTTTATGATGTCCTTGGTTATTTAAGGAAACAAAGACTTTTTTCTTAGGAAAAAGATGAGGTTCCTTATAGTCATATTGCATCCTATGTTTATGTTAAAAATCTTTTATAATCATTGTGGTTAAATAGGGAACCAAGTAGTATTTTTCAGTAATCCATCAACTTATCTTAATCAAATCTTGGAAGGCCCTGGAAAAATCACAAAGGGTTTGTTCTTTCACTTTATAAAAAGAGATGTTCTAGAAATAATTAGGTTTATTTGATACATTATTATTGATGAGATGCATGGGAAGAGTTGCCACATCAGAAGAGATGTTCAGCCTTCCCTAGGTGAAACTGGTATAGGCAAAATATTATTAATATAAGTATTTCAGAAATTGTATGTTGTATAGGAAATTCCTAAAGATCCTTCTGTGTCGTCACTGGCCATGATATGTTTCTATTTATCAGAGTCCTTGCGCTGCTTTGCCAGATATTAGTTGACTACAGTATACAGTTTTCAATAATTTAAACATTTTTTAAACATTAACTTCATCTCAACTTTGCTTCTTTATTTTGAATCTAGCATCTACTAGGCCATTAGTTTCAATTGGGGAATTCTTAGCACTTACCTACAGAATTTTATTAATATATAGATACTCCAGTTTACTGAATCTCTTTACTTGATATTCTTGATATGCTTTGGGTATATTCTAACTATATGCTCAGTATATTCATGGTATATTATTATTTAAAGTTAACCTGACGTGTTCCTGAGAGCACTTGCAATCAGGTACAAGCCAGAGTGCTTCATCTTCAACAAAGAAAGACTATCTCAGAGCCCCATGGAAAAGGATTTTTGCCAAGTATTGTTGAGTACAGGCTTTTTATGGTATAGTGTAAACAACGTTGAGACCATACCAGTGAACTGAATCAGGACTTCAAGAACTCTAGTTGAGAAGTCAATGGGTTAGTGAGACTGTTAATGCAAGGTCGAGAGGAACAAGAACTAATTATATAGGCCTGAATGAGACTGATGAGGGCTGATTGTGGATTTTGTTTAGAATATTGCGGATGTTTTAAAGCAGACAGACCCATGAATACAGAGAACAAACTGATGGTTGCTGGAAGGGAGGGGGCGGGGGGTGGGCAAAATGGGTGAAGAAGAGTAGGAGGTACAGGTTTCCAGTTGTGGAATGAATAAGTCATGGGAATAAAGGGCACAGCATAGGGAATGCAGTCAATGATATTGCAATAGTGTTGCATGGTGACAGATGGTAGCTACACCTGTGAACATAGCATAACCTATAGAGTTGTGGAATCACTAAGTTGGACACCTAAAACTAATGTAAAATTATATGTCAACTATGTTTCAATTTAAAAAAAGAATATTGTTGATGTTTCAGTGTTCTATTTTCTTTTTAAAAAAATTTTTAATGTTTACTTATTTTTGACAGAGAGACAGAGCGCGAGCAGGGGAGGGGCACAGAGAGAGGAAGACACAGAACCCAAAGCAGGCTCCACACTCTGAGCTGTCAGCACAGAGCCCAACGCAGGGTTCAAACTCTCAAAATGTGAGATTATGACCTGAGCAGAAGTTGGACACTTAACTGACTGAGCCACCTAGGCGCCCCTTAATGTTCTATTTTCTGGATGTATAGGCAACTCATTTCTCTTTACTCTTATGCTATCTATAACTCATAATCATTTAGTAAGCCATGCTTTTGCAAACAGAAATGACACACTTACAAATGATATCTTAATTCCTCCTGCCTGAGCCCTCCAGGATTCAGAAACTCTTATTGAGCACTCTTACTTCCATAGCAATGTAATTATCTGCCTAAGTTCAATAATAACTATTTGTCCCACCTGTTATCAGGACATGATTGGAAAACATTGGTTATATATCCAAGGCCTTGCCTGGAATGTCATATTTGTGAATGATGCTCACTGAATCAGATATGATCAGACACTTTTA